AATTTCTTTTAGTTGTAATGCAGGTAGCAGAAAGTCAGCAAATGAAACTTTTATCTTCTTGCGAAAATCTTGGTAAGTTTAATCAACTTTTCCAGTTTCAGATAGTACAAAACACTGACAAAAATCCAGATAGGGCCTTCATTTGCAACAGTAAGTGATGATTCTTATGACTTTTGATGGCTGAGTAGCTGGTGGCAACTGGACATAGTAAGCGCCATTCTATGTTGGGGCCGTTGTAATGTAAGTGGTAGGGATGGACGAGTATCGAATTCGATTATTGCGATTATTTGAGAATTTGAATCTTGCGATTGCGAATAGTTCGGAAGCGAATATTCGAATATTTTCGATTATTGCTTCGATTTTTGATTTTTTATGAACCGTGAGAGAAGAATGACACTTTTGATACTTCTGAATGCGATTATTCGAATATTCGAATTTACGATTGCGAATACTTCGCAAGCGAATATTCGAATATGATGCAATTACCTCAGTGCTGATAATTCGAATATCAAATATTCGAATATCTAAATACTCGACCATCCCTTGTAAGTGGATGTAAGAGTGCTCTTTACTAACTGCACCTGTTTGGTGAATTCTTCCAGTGTAAGAAACAAAATATCCAGGAAAATGCTTACCCTCTCCGAGCAGAGCTGTACAAATGGATATTGCAAGGATCAGAAGAGTGTCGGCCCACATGACAGCAAATGAATAAAATTAAACCAATAATTTGATTGAATCACGAATCAATCTGAGATCTGAGGGATATTTTGTTTACGAACAATTTCATAACCTCAAACCTTACACCTACTATGGCGGGCCGTTAGGTCCAAAATTCCCGAATATATTAATTTTTGTGAGAATATATTTTTTTTCCGAATATATATTTTTTTCCCGATATATATGTATTTTTTTTGAGAATATATATTTTTTTCCTTGAGAATATATAATTGGTTTGAGAATTTATTTTTTCTCAGAATATATAATTTCTCGAAAAAAAAAAAAAAAAATATTCTCAAAAAAATACATATATATCGGAAATAAAATATATTCTCAAAACTGAACTCAACGGTCGCATCGATGAGTCACAGTGTTGCCAAGCGGAACCTCGAGTTTTTTTTCCGGAATTTCGGGGGAAGTGGGGAACGCCGGAATCCGGAGATGGAGTGACGTCCTACTTCTTCCAAGGCCACCCGGCTCCCCGGCTCCGGCGTGTTCCGCGTGTTGCTCCGGCCCGGTGGTATTTTCCCTCCAATTTTTTCCTACACGCATGATTAAGTATTTTATTATTTTTTTCTATCATATCTGGTGACACGTTAGTTGTTTATGACTATTTTTACCTCTAATTTACTGCTTTTACTGATATACCGTGCTCCAGTTGAAGGAATTTACTTTGATTTGCATTCAAAGAACAGCACCAGCTTCAATCTTCCACCGAAGCTTGCTACAACATGAATCCAAGTGTCGATACGCAATGTAAGTACGAGCAAAATGAACTCACAATGATATTTGTTACTATAACTTCGTGATAAGTGATCCACCAGCAGTACATTCATGTTTTTGATTTTGTAGGAACTTCCGCCTGATCTCTATTGTGTACCATGAACCTCAGCCGAAGCCAGCGTTCTTTTAGGGAACAGTCTCTTATGAGATTACAAATACCAATGGTCTTTCTAATTGTTCTGCTTAATATATTTGAATCTACGATAACTGCATCACGCTGTAGGTAACTCTTCACATTTGAGGGGTCCCATAGATCGTATTTGATAATGGTTTGATGTATCGTTTGGTTCAAAACAATAGAACATAACCTCAAATCTAACTATTAGGATTTAAGTTGGAAAAGCTGAAAATGAGATCATTTCTAACAATTTCACTTTGCATTGGCATTTGGTACTCAAATAAATGAAACATCTGTTATGAAAGACATGTTCCCTCTGATTTCTTAATTGACTTTTGAGGCTATGTTTATGTTTTGAACCAATCGATATCGATACAATCTCACCTGTTTGATGTATCGAATACGATCTATAATTCAGCCACAAAAGCCGAAATCATGAGGGGGAAGAGTATGAAAAGGGTTCCTCATTATTAAGGGGAGGGTATTTATAAGAGTCTTCTCTTCAGAAGCTTATGCAGCAACAACAAGTATTTCAGGTAGATCCATGAATCTAAGTATAATGTGACATGTGTTCAGCACAACTGCTTTCTGTATGTCAATGAAAGTACAGTTGGAGAGCTCGATCTTACAGAGGTACCCCTTGAAGCATCGAGGGACAACACTAGTAGCAGATAAAATTAGTGGGATTATTCCAAGGTACACTCTACTACAGGTATAGACGAAAAGGGTGCCGAAGTGGCAGCGCTGAGAAAATCGGCGATCGAGTGACGTATGAAGTCGTACCGACCATTTGCCGCGCACGTCTTCGCAGTCGTACTCTCGATGCTGTCAAATCTACGCGTTTTGATGACTTTCTAAAATTCCATTTTGTCCATACCTGTAGTAGAGTGTACCTTGGGATTATTCCAACCTTGCAGAGCTTGTGCAATTCATTTAAATTCAAAAGGAAGACTATCATATTTGGTTATTTAATCATGCCGCTGAAATTTTGATTTCAGGTTAAGTATAGAATAGAATTCTATAGAATAGAATAGAAACAATATTCTTTGGAATTTGTTAGCAGCTATCATCGTTGATGTGATTTGAAGTCATCACCGAATCATTCGTATACAGTGAGTATTTTCTTTTTTTTTTCAATTTTTTGCTTACCTTCATAATTACACATTATAATTGGACGTATTTATGCAAAAAGGAGCTATGTGCAAGTGGAAAGATGGGGTGTCAGGGTGTCTAGCAACCGGGAAAACCGGGAAACGTCAGGGAATTTTTTTTGAGTCAGGGAAAACCGGGAAAAACGTCAGGGAATTCGCAAAAAGTGGGAGTGTCAGGGAATTTTTTTTTTGTGTCAGGGAAAACGTCAGGGAATTCGCGAAAAGTTGAATTCGAGGAATTTTTTCAAAAAGCGACGAGATCGCAATTTTTCGCCAAGTGTAACCGCTATTTCTTGTGACTGGCTAAATTTTCTGGATCTCACAAATGCCTCAAGAATTCTGTCGATTCGAACGAGTTGATCATCATGAAGTTTTTTTTACAAAATTGTCGAGCGTCAGAGAATTTTTGCTCTTTGTCAGGGAAACGTCAGGGAATTTTTATTATTTTGTCAGGGAAATCAGGGAAACGTCAGGGAATTTGCCTTTTGAAAATCACTAGACACCCTGGGTGTGCTTATTAGTCGGGTCATAAGAAACAATGTAAAAGTGGATATAGCTCCTTTTGAGAAATTTGAAAAGCGGGATTTTCTATTAAATCAAAAGGAGCTAAGCGCCAAAATACGCTAACTCATGAGCCGCGGGCTTGCGGCAAGAGCCTTGTGAACAGGGCTCATGAGTTAATGCTCGGCGACGGCGCGTTGCTCATACGGCGCTTCTCCTTTATTTCATTGCCGCTGATGTCACTGGCGCACAATATTCCCCATTCATTCGCATGGCCCGACCACTAACAAGCACACCCCATCTTTCCACTTCCACATATCTCCTTTTCGCATAAATACGTCCAGTTAAACGTTTTATATTTAATTTAATATTAAATATTATTAGGAAAGGGCATGGCTCCTCTTAAGTAGAGCTTTCTAATCGTATTGAAGTTTCTGGATTTAATTTACATTAGGGAGCCACTAAGGTCATTTATATGGTTCCTTGCAGAGATTTTTCATACAAAAAAATAGTTTTGCTTTTTTTAAATTTTTTTTTCTCCGGGAGGGGGTCTGTATTTCCCCTTATTTTTTTTAACATTCAAACTTGATTGGAAGATCACCATCGCTTAAAGTATAATGCAAAAATGATGGTAAAATAGCAACACCACCTTTTCTTGTACAATGAGAGCGTCGCTTTTAATATTTGTACACGTAAGAATAGTGATTAAAAGAATCTCTTATTTAAGAGTTCTTTGTTTTGATTTCTGCCATTTCAAACCCTCCCACAACCCCCTGCCCAAAAAAAAAAAAATGCAGCACTATTTTTTGTATGAAAAATCTCTGCAAAACACCATATAAACGACCTTAGTGGCTCCCTAAGGTAAATTAAATCCAGACACTTCAATATTATTAGAAAGCTCTACTCAAGAGGAACATTTTTAAAAAAAGTTCATTAAAATCGGTTGAAATGCAGCAGAGTTAGGGATTTTTAAGAGTTTTCACTTCAAAAAATGGCAATGTCGCACATCAGCAGCCGAAGGTGAAAAACGGCTCGAGTTGGACACTTTACTGCTCTAAGTAATTATTTCAACGTAAATTCAACGTGAAGGACCTCTAGTTCGAGGATGATTCAGTGATAAGACGCATTCACATTGCGCACAAGCGCATGTGACCAACTTTGAGCGGTCATATCTCAGAAACTAAACGTCTCCCCACAATCATCATGTGCTCGTTAGAAAGGTTAGAACCTGAACTCTCATTTAGACTGGTTTTTGTTCAGATTTCGTCGATTCCACGATCGTGGTAAAATAAAAACAACATTTTTGTGTCTATCAAAAACTGCTAAAACCACGCAAGTGCCCCTTAGAGCCAAGTAAACCCAGAAACCTATACACCATTAGAAAGCTCTATTTAAGAGGAACATTTTAAAAAAAAGTTCATTGAAATCAGTTGAGATGCAGCGGAGATATGAATTTTTAAAGGTTCCCACTTTAAAAAATGACAACGTCGCAACCTGATGCAAAAGACTATCTCTACCCTTGATGCTCTCGTCGTCTCTTGCATAAGGAAATTGTAATCCTTTGATGAAGTTTAGCTAAGTAACTGTACCTTTAATTATCCTTTTGTTGAATCTCTGTAAACGATGTGACCAATTCAAATTCTGTAACTCTCAACTCTTTTACTGCTGAACCATTATTGTGAGAGTGTCAATTAGATAGTACATATAGTAGTTAAAATCATGACACAGACTGTTCATTTGAAGCATTGTTTATTGGTTCTTCTTTGTATAAGTATATCATTTTTGGGGTCTGAATACAGGATGTAAGCATTTATTCAAGATTTTTTTTAATAATATGTTGAAACTATTTCAGGAGCCTTTTTTCTTCAAATCGAAAAATTAAATATGATGTCACGCAAGTACATCTGCATTGGTACTTCATCACCGTTCTCTTTCACAAATGGTAATAGACACTTCGTGTCTGATGTTACCTGAGGTGACAATCATGACACAGAACTTGGTTGAAAGTTTAGGAACTTGGTAACATGAAGGGAGAAAAAAAAAGGTATTTGCATGACATTTGGAGTAAAATTTTGCACTTTTTTTGTGGTTGATACTCACTTGCTTCACATGCTTATTACCTTAACTGTATAACACATTCCGTAACCATTAATTTTCTTCTTCATATTAGTATAGCCAGTTCCCTTGGGCAGCACTCCATTTCAGTCACATTTGTAAATAGGCATCCTGACTTATTTTCCTCGTCTGTTTTTCATTTTGGTCTTGTTTTATTATTTTAAATCATGAAAAAGTGCTTTCCAACTTCTTGGACTTCCACATTCGTCATAGTCGCTTCACCCTTTGTATGTTTGAAATAGAAAAAATCCTGAAGGAGATTGCACCCTTGTTGTTAGTCGTCTTTTTCAAACGGTTTAAGATTTTTTTCTTACATCTCCAATGCAAGTTTACAGTCCAAATGCACTGAAATACTCTTATAATTTGTTATTGCGATGATTTCATGAGCATGGGCATCCTTCGTATTCCACTCCTTGATTATTTTAGTGTCCTCATCATGTGATTGGTCCTCTTTCCCTTGAATCTAGTTTGTTATTTTTCATAACAATTTCAACTTGAATTATCCGTAAAAGAAAATTTATCGCGAATTTTGTCGATACCGCCCATTTCTTCCATATTTAATCATTTCTTCCTGAATTAGTCAAAACACAAATTTGGATCAACAAAAAGAATCATTACATGAAAAATTAATTTTGATCAAGAATGCAGTATAATACGTTTTAAAGATGTAAAACTTTGAAACAGGGACTCCTGAACTTTTTGCAAAGTTATAATTTCAGTTTTTCTTTTGGGCTTTTTAATATCTTAGATCAAGTTTCCTTTTTCTTGTGCTTCAGTCTGGAGTGAATTTTTTTAATTTTCCATCTCTCTTCGACAAAGAGTTTCATTTTTTTTTCATTTTTAAGTTTGGTTGTATAGAAATCACCTTTTATTTACTACTTTTTATTAACTGAGATATTTCTTTTCATAAACTGAGAGGACTTAATTCCACGACCATGTTAATCAAATGTTTTTAGCTAGGTATGATTTTTTTCTTTTCGTTTTAATTTACTCGACAAAATCATGCTTTACTTCTCAGAGATATTGACTGAAAGAGTCTCGTTTATGAACAGAAATTCTAAGGAATAAAAACCAATCAGAATCTTGTAATATTTGTTTTCTTCAAAGCTTAGCAGTTTATTGTCGCGGAATGAAGCCTCATCTTCTTAATTTCCCATTTCGTCATCTAGCCGTAAGTTTGTGGTGTGAAGTATATATTATATTAATTCATTACCACATAGAATTTGATTGGGATTGGACCTTAGTTCTGGTGCCGGTATATGCACCGAGGACTGAGTTTAACCCTGGTGAGACTCAAGAGTGGATTAAGCGTTCAGAAACTGGCGGAGCAACACACGTTGTTGAATGCATGTTCATCTACTCCTTTCTTTTTTTTGATTTTTCGTTTGCTGTTTGTTGCTTAAGAGTTACCTCGTGATCTCGTCTCGAGTTGATAAAGAAATTTCCGTGATAACTTGCTCTGCGCTTTTTACTTTTTGAAGCTCCAGTCATCATTTCATGTTCCTAACCAGTTTGTTGAAACTTATCTCAATAATTCGTTTCTGACCTGCTTGTAACTTGATTTCAACCTCAGTTGAAAGGCCTCTATGAATAGAGTATTTTTGCTTTCGTGCAATTAGACTGACTGTAGAATAATGCTGACATAGGCATAGTTCATTCTAATGTCACTGAACTGGGTTTTTCTTCAGTAAAATTTCTTGCTAATGAAAGTTTCTTGTTGAGCTTTAAGAAAATGTTCAGCAATTTATTTCTGGAAATTACCTTATTTGATAAATAGAAAGTGTTAAAGTAATGAGTAAACTTCAAAGGATTACTTCTGACGGGAAAAAGATGCTAACTCAATGTACAATGAGGTAATGATAGTAGGCCTTCCAGGCAAAATTTTTAAAGTTTTGACTTTTTTCATGTAGAATAGAGTGTTAGTAATTGAGATGTAGTACAATAATACAATTAACTGAACTTATAACTCTTACAGTAACATCGTATGATCGCATTTCTAGCTGCGTTTTTTGGAACTCCGAGAATTTTCTGAGATGAATTGTGCGTTTAAGAGGACATATGGCAATTCTCAAATGTCGTCACTTTTTTTCTCGTGGAATTTTCCTCGGAAGCAGTATTTCGAATAGCTGTTGCAAAACGTTGGGGCTAATCTATTGACTAATCATTAACATGATCTCAATTGAGGCATTTGAGGACACCGCACCAAGAACAGCCTGTAACTGGAAACCGCGTTTTGAGAAAAACGCATTTAAAGTTTTGTTTTTGATGTACTGCGCAGACTTTTCTATGCAGGTACCCTGTTTTCGTGTTTTGGGTCACCTAACCCTTCTATTGAAGGATACCGGGTAGATTTTGCGATACATTTTGGGTTTACACTCTAATATATTTCATTTAAAAAAGTGGTTTATATGCCATTATTACGCCCAACAGTCATTTTGGTGGCAATATGAAGTATAAATCATTTTAATCACGCATGATTAACGCAAAATTAAGAGTAAAGAAAGAGAGTAAAGAGATAGTGAGTAAAGAAAGGGGCAACTAGCACCTTATATGCCCGTATTACGCCCAACAGTCATTTTGGTGGCAATATGCGAAGTATACATTTTTGGAGGAATGGATAGTTTGAGAGGAGAGTAAATTATTTCAATAGCTCGTTTTTCTGAAATAAAAACAAATCTTTATAAAATGAGATAAAAAAACCGAGAATGATAAGGCCGCGCGTATAGGTCGTTCTTGCACCCATCGATCCAGAGGCCTGACTTAACTCGAAAAAAAAGGTTTTTCGACCTCGAGCCGTTACCTATCTATATTCTATCGCTACCACAGCATAGTCCAGGGTACGTAGAATCCGAAAAGCAGATGGGCGTAATAACTACCTATACGCCTATAGGCTGTTCTTGGTGCGGTGTCCTCAATTGCTGGAAACGCCCCTTTTATTGCAGTATTGCTTAATGTAATTCTATTTTGTAATTTTCCAGATGGCAGCAAACAGAACAGTCAGTGAAATGTTTGATTTGCTAAGAAGAGAAGTACCAGATATTCCAGATTCTCAACATAGAACTAGTTCAAATCAAGGCCAGACGGCAGACCAGAGATCAGTTGCTGATTTAATAAACTCATTCCGCCAAGTAGTAGATAATGCTTCAAATAGTTGCCCGCAGTCTCGCCCAGTTATCTCATCAGTACCAGATAGGCATTCTGTAGCGACATCCAATCATGGTTCTTATAGAGCACAAGCCAGGATTGAGACACCAGATCCTCCCAATTCTCAACATGGAACTAGTTCAAATCAAGGCCAGACGCCAGACCAGAGATCAGTTGCTGATTTATTAAACTCATTCCGCCAAGTAGTAGATAATGCTTCAAATAGTTGCCCGCAGTCTCGCCCAGTTATCTCATCAGTACCAGATAGGCATTCTGTAGCGACATCCAATCATGATTCTTATAGAGCACAAGCCAGGATTGCGACACCAGATCCTCCCAATTCTCAACATGGAACTAGTTCAAATCAAGGCCAGACGCCAGACCAGAGATCAGTTGCTGATTTATTAAACTCATTCCGCCAAGTAGTAGATAATGTTTCAAATAGTTGCCCGCAGTCTCGCCCAGTTGCCTCATCCAGACAAGGAGGTTCTCAATCCGCTAGCATTCCTGGACCAAGCCGTTACAGAGCTACATCTAGGACATTAGATGCTGAGAGGAAGGCAGCTTTCAGCCCTTACCAACACAGAGCGAAAGGTAGCAATATTAAGAAGCAACATTCCCTCAATGAGACATTCCACAAAGAGGTTATTCTTCTCCCCAGTAAAAAAAGATCTCGAGTTCTCACACCAACAGAAAGAGAGCTTTATCAGCAGAAGGAGTTAATTGTTAATATTGTCGAGTTTTCAAAAAGTTTTTCCAAAGATCAAGTCATTGAAAAATTAAGAAAGCCTTTCGTCACAAAACTCATGGGCCATGGCATAACCGTCCTAAGACCCATTCGCAGTACCCTTTTCGAACCCGCATTAGAGTTTGGGCAATCTCTGAATGGAGACATCTTGAAGAAGCTGTTTCATCAAAAGCCAATTTATATTAGGCCACACGCAAATATTCATCAATATTGCGGTATTGATCCACAGTCTGATGATGATGGTGGTGAAGAAGAAGATCCTGATGATCCGATGTCTGACTCATCTCGTAGCTGCTCCCAAATTTTTTTGGCTCCTTCGACCCGCAGATATTCTCCACCTCCACAACAGGAATCTTGTAACTCTCCGGAAATGAATTTGCCTAGCGACACCCATGAAATAGCTGACTGTCAACGACTCTCCGCCTGTCCCGTCTCACGCCCAGCCATTGGTCAATGACGTCACACCTAAGCTGAACGGTGATTGGGGGAGGCGGTGAGCCGGATGACGCCGCGAGTATTGTGGAGTTCTCCTCACTTTTTTAGGCCATCTTTCTTTAAAACGTTTTATCTCGAAAGGATGCTGTCACGGCATCTAGTCTTTTTATCCATTTCCATCCACCACATTTGTGTTTTCCATATTCAGAATATATCACCTTCGTTTCTCGCATCTCCAGTTGTGTTTTTTTGAACGTCCAGTTTCCTTATTTTGCACGCCGCTCTCCCGAATGATCGCTTAGCGCGACGCCCGCATTGACACTGACGAAACACCAGCCATCTCCGATGAAACATATGATGCCTCGGGTGAAACAAATGAAACATTAAGAGAAACATGTGTCATCTCTAATGAAAATAATGATGAAACATTCCTGTCTTCTCCATTACATTCGGAAACTTCTGAGCAGCATCTTACGGTCTTTCGTCCACCGGATCATTCGTATTGCACTGTTACAGAGATGGACCAGCTTGGAGTTACCATCCATGTGCCTAGAGGAGAAAGTGAAATCATACTTATTAATTAAATTATATTGATTACCTGATCCTCACTTTAAAAAAAAGTTTCAAAACATGAGAATTCTCAGATTTTCGGTGACAAAGGTAGGTTTCTTTTAGAAGGAATTAAGATGGGATATAGATAGGCCTGCACTCTTTCGATTTACACATTCCAGGACAAACAATCTATGATACACTTCCACTACGCTGTGCTATACAGTACCTTTTTCCAATATGCGGACTGTAGTTTAGTTTCGAGGATAATGAAAATAGAAATAAGTACTCACTTCTTGATTTACCACAAAAATTTACAACATGACCGACAAACTATTTTAACGGAAGATCATTTAAGAACACCGCTTGCTAACTTGCAACACTGTATGATCAAAGATATATGATACGGTGCATAACCTATATTTTCATACACTATTTTTTTTATTTTGGGAAAAAATGTCAGCTGTCTTACAAAGTTTAGAGAAAAATAAATCAAATAATAACCTGGATTGAAAGCTCATTTAGATAAATTATTTTCTGTTCTGATTCATTTCGAAGTGCCTCCAATAGCACAAAAACTAAAACTTTGTAATGAAAGAGGTACTAAGAAACTTCATTAGCAGTTCCTGGCAAGTGTCATTGTCTCTTCCCACTAAATCCGACACTCTGAACATTAGTAAAGATTCACTATTGCCTTACCATAATGAATCGGAATAATGCAAATTCGCAGACGTCTGTTAACAATGGTTCCGTGAGGATCTACGCGTCTTAATGCCTCTCTTATCCTACAACGAGTGACTCGGAATCCAAGGGATGAAATATGACCATGGATGTAGCGTGCACCACAAGTTGAATTATTTGACTTGCATTGGTGAATAGTTTCATAGAGATGTCTATCATCCATGGTCCTTTCCGCAGGTAGCTCTGCTCTCCTCCTTTTCAAAGTCGTTCGGCTAACACTAATGTGCATAGAAATTTTAGCCCAAGATAGACCGATGCTGCAAAGCCGCTGGACCATCTGCAGATTGACAGCCAATGTTGGCCGACCAACACCGCCATTATGTAAAACCGATGTTGGTGCGACTGGACAGACTTCAGTACGGTCACTTACTGGAGAGCTAGGATCAACATCATTAAGTACGGTGTTCAGTATTATCGATAACGTACTTAACATATTTCTCTTGTCAGGTTCATGTTCATAGTTGACAATGCTTCGGACCAAGGACAAAAACGTGGTCAACTCATCTGCCGAGTGTTGTAATTGGATATTGTCTCCTTGCTCCTTGAATTGTAGATAACGCATAATTTCAACTTCAATAGAGGAAAGTAAGTTTTGGTAGTCTTCATTACGTGACACTAAAAAAAGAAAAAATATTACATTTTGGAGAAGGTCTGGTGTAAAAACTCAGGTTATACCAAAAGGAAGTCACTAATTTCGACTATGCAAACCCATATAAAATTTTCTTGCTTTTAAACTCAATAAAAATGCAGATTTCACCACCAAAAATTAAATTTTGGATCAATTGTTACCGGGAAAATTACAGAGCCCATTTAGTTCCCCCTGAAAAATGAGTAAATGGGTTTACACGGGTATACAAGTTGAAAGTGTTCCGTTTCGAAAGTTGTAGGTCCGATTTTCTCAAGACGGTGGTTTTGTAATTTCTGTGCTTTGACTCAGCATTGCAAGCTAAATTGATTGCTTACTTTAACTATTTACTAATGATTACTTGCTTTTTGTAAAATGTACTGTTCCAAACGACAACAAATAAATAGAAACAAACTTTAGACTTCGTTTTGTGAGTGAAACATTTGGAATTCAACAAACAGAGTATTATTTACACATTTCACAAAAATATAGTGAATACAATTTATAAAGGGATTTAAGAGATAATTGTTGGTGGTAATGTTACTCAATTAAAATCACTTTGTATGTCTCTGTTCAATGAACAGTGAATGTGTGAAATTACCGTTATAGATTTATTTGGTGACCTAAGGTCAGGGGCAACTCTTGCTTCACATTCTCTTCTACGCCTCACTTGCCAAGTATAAACAATGAGAGTTCAAAAAATTTGGATCAGTATGATTCCGCAGGGTATTCATTAGGTACTTACTTTTTGTGAAACGTAGAATTCCATAAGGCAAGAAACATTATTAAGTCACATCAGGCATTGTCCGAACAAAACAGAAAGTTCATCTGCAAAATACAAATCAAATTATTGGAATTACAGAAACTTCCTTGCTTCTTTATTACTAAAGGCTTCAATTGCTTCTACTTTACATAATATGAAGTCAAATTTTTTTAAAAAAAATGATTCATTTAGGAAATCGGTTGGTATACCGCTTACTGCAACCTAAAAAATACTGCAATTTAACAACAGCACACTTCACCACATAGAGCTGGCAAAAGTTCCGTGTGGAATGGAGTATACATAAGTAAAGCAATAGTGGCACTGTTCAGCCAAGCTACCATTCAGCTCCACTACAAAGAATATACAGTGCTAGAACTTGTTCGTAGATCACTGGTTCGCATGTGCGTTTGTGACTACCATTCCAAGGTTACTTTACTGCAGACAAGCTCAAAGCAAACAATGTTCGACTGACTCCATTCTCAATTGGTACTACCTCTTTGATTGTGTACTTCGTACTGAGGAATCGAACGAACAGTTAAGCAATAAGTTTTCAGTCAGGAAAGGAAGACATGAGACTATGGAATGAAGTCATAATGAATCACAATAACAAGAAAGAGGTGCAACCGTATAGGCATAGCTTTTACTTCTTGAACTGCCTAGGAGAAGTAGCAGCGAATAGCGACCGGTACCAGAATTCTTACTTCATGAAACTGGCATTTTAGATAGACTTTTACCTTCTATACCTTGACCTGAGCGAGTCTGAGCATAACCAACAATAATTACTAAAATAATTTACAGTAGGGACTGATAGTGTGCTTGGTACAATTGCAAATGATTCGCAATTAAAGATGATTCCACAAGGGGCTAACCATGGAATATTTCAATCTAACTAAATACCTATGTAGCTAGAAGGAATGACATTTCACATCTTATACGTGATGTTCCTGCACTTTTGAAAGAATGCATTACTGGACAATGCAATCGTCCAAACCGTGTATAGAACAGTACACAGTCTTAACAACTGATAATAATAAATGATATAAAGTCAAAGTGTAAATACATCACAGAGCTGGAGCTGTGAACCGGTGAACGGCGGATCAACGGTTCGGGTATTCGGAACTTATTAGTTCCAGACATTTCTAATACCTTTATGGTCTGTGAGTAAATTGTGGTAAGGTGCAGACTTGTCCATGGACTGCTCTTACAAATCGTCTGTTTCCTGACCGCTGATGACCAAATGTAAGTGTAAGAATATCCAGACAAGCTACAAAAGTTAATGCATGTTCCATGCAAAGTTTCCTTTCATTAAAAAAACGAGACAGACGATATGACAACCAATCATGTTATAGACAGCGAATAAAATACATCTGACAACAGGAAGCTTAGTCATTTCTATGTGAAGTCAATCTGTTCAAATCGAAAACTTGAAGAGCAGAAAATTTGACAAAAACAGTAAGAAACAAGTGGACAGTGAACAGGGAAATTAAGAATGAGCTAATAGTTGTAGAAACTCAAAGGGACGGTAATACTTATACGTCTTGAACTACAACATACAAGTATGTAACATCTACTTAGAGTAACGGTCTCACGGTGTCCCTCCGGATGAGTTGAGTTTGCCCAGTTTGCCAATTGCCGATTACAAAGCAAGTGAAGGTTAATGAGTGAAAGGTTCCTAATTAGAATGAATTATTATTAGAAGTTCCTTACCAGTCTTGAAGGAGTTTCGAAATTACTTTCAGATAAGAGACTAAGAGAGCGTGTTGTTGTTTGTTTACTTTTTCAAAACTGCGAACGAAAACGGTCACCTCACTGGGTGATCCGGAAAAATAATTTTGACACGATCCGCATTCCTCTTCGGTATGGTTTGGCAACACTGTGGCTCATCGATGCCACCGTTGAGTTCAGTTTTGAGAATATATTTTATTTCCGATATGTATGTATTTTTTTGAGAATATTTTTTTTTTTTTTTTTTTCGAGAAATTATATATTCTGAGAAAAAATAAATTCTCAAACCAATTATATATTCTCAAGGAAAAAAATATATATTCTCAAAAAAATACATATATATCGGGAAAAAAATATATATTCGGAAAAAAATATATTCTCACAAAAATTAATATATTCGGGAATTTTGGACCTAACGGCCCGCCATAGTATTAGACTGGTAGAGCCAAACGTATGGTAGAGCAATGGGTAGAGCACGAGCAAAATCAATGGATGGACCGAGAGAATAAAGAAAATAACTATTCTCTTGGTACATGGCTTTGAGGAAAACAGAATAAATATTTTACAGAAATAATGCCAATAATTTAGACGCCAAAGGGTTCTTAGACGTCCAAAAATTACACTGGATCTTGGCTAACACTGAGTAGCGACAGATCTGAAACTCCGAAAGTCCATCAGACCTTCACCGATGCCTCCGCGAATAAAGTTAGGGCCCAAAAGGGCAGCCAACCTATGAATTTCGAATGTCCAGAGCGATTTACAAATACAATTGTTACGAACCGTCGTTTAGAAAGCATGTATTTGGTTTACTTTTTGCATAAATTTACTTATTTTTGCGAAAGAACGCTCTTTTATGTACATTCTTAGCCATCTTGGTTAGAATTGAAATCTGTAGGCTGGCAGTGAAATTTTGTGTGTTAGAAGTTGCTCAGAAGGGTGGCTGCACTTTTGGGCCCTAAGCCCTCCATGAACCGATCTGTCGCTACTCTCCCTATACAGGTACTCTAGCTAACACTTTTCTTTGGACGTAAACCCATAGAGTACAATAGAGTCGCAAAGTACTGGAGCGCCGATGAAGCCAATCCATTAACAGGCGTTTCCGAGCCGCGTGTGCTCCGAAAATTGTGAACCGTTTGTGTTGTGAACCCAACGGCATTTTGTAACACGGCGGCTTATGGAGAAATCAAGAATTGCTTGTGTTTTTTAGGTATTTTATAATTCAATCAGCATTAATTTTTGCAAATTTTGCTATTTAAAGGTAGTCAAAGTCATAATGAATCCATTGATGTATATTACTCCTGGATAATATTCATATTGGGATTTAATTTCTGACTTATACCAAGTGTGAACCAACCGGCATTTCTTATCACGGCGGCTTACGGGAAAAG